GCCCTTCTATAGAGGGATATATTTGTTTAGACTGGATTTAAAGCAGAACATGGGAAATGCGCATTTTCTACTTATTATGGGGGTTGGTGGTCTAGTGGTTAAGACTGATGACTACAGTGCTGAAGGTCCCGGTTCAATCCTGACTCAGGGTGCTGGAAATTTTAGTACATTAGATTTAGAGGGGTGATTTTCACCCTCCACACATCTCTGGTACCCATACTGGAGTTTAAACTAGAATGTGTACTTTGGGGGCCTCGGTTGGTCAAACTGGCCCTGACTTTGACCAGGAGATCAATCTTCAGATATCTCTTCGGTTTGTCTGTTCCCGCCTTGATGCCCGGTGATTTTCTCGTACTTCGGCTTCCTTTACCATAATAACAGACTTCCTGGTTTCCTATCACTCCCGTGGTGTTGGGTTGAGGAATTGTCCTTGGTGGTGGGTTGTACATATGTTAGTGACACATCTCCATTAACATGATTAATCCTGTTAGGGAGAGTTCATGGATACTACTGTTCGCAGCTTTCGAGGGGAGCTCTGAATAACGGAGGTATCAACCCGAACATACATACATATGGCAGTAACCTGCAACATTGGATGCACCAATTGATGTACTTAATTGAATATGCACATGTCTAGTTTACTGCTAAACTGACTGAATATACAATCTATTGTTCATCCAAATTGAAAGCTTTGATGATCCGGTAAATTCCACTCAGTTATGCTTCAATGAACAGATTTTTAGTGTTAGATTTAACATAAAATTTAAAGATCAGCTGTCCCTATTGACATATTGTTGTTGATCAGGTGTTCAGATAGGTACACAATAGATTGCAAGTTCTGTCATTTTAGAAGAAAACTGCACATGCCATAGCCCAATTTTTAGAAAAGTGCAATAATTGATACCTATAATGCTATAGATTATAGCCAATATAACTAGAAAATGCACTTTTGCCATCTTCCTGCTTTAAATCCAGTCTAAACAAATATATCCCTCTATAGAGGGTAATCACTCTATGCAGGTACATGTATTATCAACATATAGGGGCTTTGGTCCCAACCTGTTGAAAACTAGTATCACTACAAAATCTTACCAACTTATTCAAAGGGAAACTTCGCAAATAAATGAAAAATTGATATTCAATGCCGCTTTTTCAAATTGCATGAATATTTAAATGAATGTGCTGAAATTGTAGGAAAATCTTTAAAATTTCAATAAATATTAAAGGAAAGATAACTTTATGAGTACCAACGCTAGGTGTTGGAAGAACAAGGACAGACAAAAATGATGAATACTCAAAATGAACTACTCTTATTTACCAACCTAGATTGTTTTTTCATTTGTTTTCTCTTCTTTTTTAAGAACATTTCAATACAACTTGTGTAGAAATCAATGCAAACAATACCAATGTATTTTTATACGACCGCAAAAAAATTTGGCGGTCGTATATTAGTATGGCGTCGTCAGTGTCGTGGTCCAAAGACGCATTGGTTTTCGCACTCTAACTTTAGTTTAAGTGAATGGATCTCTATGAAATTTTATCATAAGGTTTAATACCACAAAAGGAAGGTTGGGATTGATTTTGGGGGTTATGGTACCAACAGTTAAGGAAAAAGGGGCCAAAAATAAGCATTTTTCTAGTTTCCAGACAATAACTTGTGTTCAAGTGTATGGATCTCTCTGAAATTATACCACAAGTTTCCATACCACAAAGGGATGGTTAGGATTGGCTTTTGGGGGTTATGGCTCAAACTGTTTAGGAATTAGGGGCAAAACAGGGGAAAAAACAAGGCCTTCTTGGTTAATGGACAATTTAAAAGCAGTGTAAGGGAGGTAATCCAAAAACAAAATTGTACAATGTTGGATTACCTCCCTTACACAGCTTTTAAATTATCTATTTAAGCCTTTATGATGTATCTAAATTGGTAATTATGGTTGCAAACTCCATTGAAAATTTGAATTGAGATTATGACCATATCTTGAGGGAAAGAATTTTTTTTCGGAAAAGGGGGGAGGGTGTAAAAAAGAAATTGTGGGGGGCAATTTATTTTTTTCATTTCAGATTTCAGAAATTAAAAAGAAAATTTCTTCAAATATTTTTTTTTTTTGCAAAAATTTTTTTTTTGGGGGGGTGGGGGTGGGGTCAATATGCAACAGCATAGTGTATTTGCTAAATATTTCGTTTCCGTTCTCTAACTTTAGTTTGTCTCAACCAAATGTTATAAAATTTATACACAACCATTTTAGAGTTATGCGTGTTTGCAAATAGAAAAATTGCTGAATTTTTAGTTTCTGTTCTCTACTTAAGTTAGCCTTAACCAAATGTTATGAGACTTACACACAATGCTTATTACCACAAAACTCAGATCAAATTCAAATTTAGGTAGCGTCACTTTTACCGTTCTTCAGTTATGTCCCTTTATAACTATATGATATGCAAGTGGGGGCATCATCTGTGTCCACATGTGGACACTATCCACATTTATTTTCATCATGCTTGAAGATATTGATTGACAATTGGTATATAGTTTTATCATGACAAGTTACAGATCAAGTTCAAATTTTTGTTTCGGTCTGATAATTTTGTGCAGAGTTATGGTCCTTGGACTTGAAAAAATTCACTCCATATATTCAGTTTTCCCCACTGTTTTTAGTCATGCTTGAAGATATTGACTTGATATTTTCTTTTTGTTTACACCATTACAAGTTATAGAACAAGTTAGTATTTTGTTCCAGTATAATGAATTTTTACCCGGTAGGGGACTATGTATTGCCATGCAATACTCTCAGAATGCTTGTTTATTGTAAAATATTTATATTCAAATCAATTTATCACCCAAAATGAGTACATTGTCGAGATTAACACAAATGTTCAATGTGCAAATTCCACTTACAAAATGTACCATGAAAAGACTTGGGTTGAATGGACTTGGACTTTGGGCGAGATTGGTTTTTGGGCCGGAACGATCTGATACCAACATAGATTAAGTTTTTTTTTTATGCTTTATTGTCCATAATTTCATCAACATACATATTAAAATCAACAAAACATCAAATATTATCATACTTTCCAACACATACAGCTTATTTAGGTTTAATGTCCACATTTTCATCAACATATTACATATCAAATTATATTTATTACATAATGAATATTAACATGTTTTCAACCATCATCTAGCATTAAAGAGTTTAACATGTTTTCAAACATAAAACTAAAGCGCTTAATGTCTAAGTCATCTATTGGCACAAAATAGAATTAATTAAATTGTTGTGTTCTGTTGATTTGAGACGACTCATATCAGCTTGTGTTTTGATAATTATTATTTTACGGATTATGGTTATCTCGTACCTTTGAAAACTCATACCACTAAAAGAAAGCTCATACCACTGCAAAATCGTACCATTGCTAACTCGTACCACAGTAAATTTGTATCATTGCAAACTCGTACCAACTTATCTAAATGTTCTCAAATGGTGTTAAATGTTCAAAGTCACAATGACCAATTTGTAGCTGATTGTTCCTTGGCTAATTGGAAGATTGAAGAAAACAAATAGTTAAGTTTGTTTTGATATGTTTTTTGTGTTGTGTCTAATTGTATCTTGACTAGTAGGCATGAGAACATAACAAAAAATAAAGTTTAATTTTGATTCTTTATTGGCTACCATTTCATTTACATACTTGTATATAAAATCAGCAAAACATCAAATATTATTATAATTTTTTTTATAACATACACTGAATGTTTATATCACAAAAGTGTGAAAAATGTGGCTTTGAGACGACTCATATCAGCTTTTGTTTTGATAATGAAGAATTGTATTTGATAATAGACATTATAGAATTAATTAAATTTTGAATGTGAAAGCAGTTATAACAACAACACTTTAGGAATTGCTGCAGTAATTTAATGAGATCGACATGTTTCGGTGTCTTCAGGATAAAAACAATCATAATTTAGTATATACAGTATTTATTTATGAAAAATCATAACAATGAAGTAGTACAATTATACATTAAATTCAAATATGGGATTTGGAAACAAGTTTGGAAAAACTTTTATAAATCTGTCTCCCAAAATTTAATAATTTGATTAGTTAAATACAGACCAAGGAGGTTGTATGACATACAACCTCCTGGTACAGACATAATCACACAATTTAAGGAATTAGATTATTAATAAGAATGGTAATAGAAAGTAATGTAAAGATAACAAACAATTCAATTTAAGTCTTAAGAAATTCAAGAAAATTGATATTTTTTCTATAAAGATTTGCAAAAACAATTCATAAAACATTCATTTGTATTTTGTATATATTTAATACAACGAGTTTGCAATGGTATGAGTTCTCATCTCATTGGTATGAGTTGACTTTTTACTTTAAGTGGTACGAGTTGACTTGCTTCCTTATTTAACGAAAAACATAATCACACAATTAAAAGAATTTACTTTATGAATGAGAATGGTGATAGAAAGAAATGTAGGAGATAAAAATCATTTCATTTAACTAAAAGGTCTACGATAATTAAGTTAGGTCAATACAGTAATTAATTCATGTATAAAGAAAATCCATGTTATTTAAAAAAAAAATTTAAAAACATTCGTATTTTACACTTTCCAATGGAACGACTTTGCAGTGGTATGAGTTGACTTTTAGTGTTACGAGTTAACTTGCTTCCTGACTTAACGATTACATTGAAAATGTAAACAATAATGAAAAATTATTGTAACGTTTAAGACTAATTGGCGGAATGCAAAGTAGGATTGGGAACTGATTAATTATGGACTTAACAACAATGTTTGTGTCTATGTTTACATGATCTTACATTGTGTTGTTGTTATGTTTATGTGAAAATACTTGGATGTTACCAGCTAGATGTGAACCCTCAAACTCGGGATTTAAAGGCAGTGCTCTAACCAGCTGAGCCAAAGAAGATCTTCCCTAACTCAATCAGTTAGACTACTCTTATATCTCCAGTTATACAACACTCTTCTCTCTTTTCTTTTTCCGGTCTGCGTACCATCCATCCAAGCAGCTCACAGATCAACTGCTGGACAAGTTGTCAACTCCTGAGTCTTTCACTCGGAAACCCACTGGCCAGTTCCATGAGGTCTATCATACTTAAGGCCAACCTTAAAAATATGTTTGTTTGCAGTTTTCCGACTGTACCTTCAGACTGAAGGGTCGGTAGGTAGGAAAAATATTTTATTTTATCAGCCAAAATGAAGTTTAAACAAGCAGTTACACAAACCAAGTTTCTTGTGAAATTTTTTTTTTAAAACAACAAACACTGAAAACCAACATGAAATGAACAGGCATTTTCAGATAAAAACTTTTCAACCAAAATTGAAACTATAATATGGTGTGATTATCCAATTTATGACATTATTAAATACTAGTACTGGAACACTTATAAGATCTTATAAACAAGGAATGACTAGAATTGTTTTAAAGAAATTGTTCACTGACATATGCTTCTTTACTAGAACATTTTCATGAGTAGAGTATTTTCATTAGGAAAATGAAGATATCAAAGATTCATAAGACAATGTAAGAGTGTTATCAATAAAAGAAATTAACCATTGAATCTTTCTCAATTAAAAAAAAAAGGAAACTTGAAAAAATATATTTGACATCTGACTGTTTTCATAAATCTAACAATATTTAATTATATGTAATAAGGTTATATTTTGAAAGATATGTTGATGGGATCAGGCTTTAATTAAAACCAAAAAAAATCTTAGACTTCAGGGTGAAATCAATGGCACCCCTTTAAAAGTAAATGGTCTGTACTGAAATGTTTTGACTGCATAAAAAATTGGCAGCATAGCTCCTAAGGACATGTTTTAATTCAATTCACACAAGCCACACTGTTTGGGTATATTTAATATTGTAAGAGGGAGAAGAATTGCAATGAGTGGGGTAGCTCCCCTTATCCTAAAGGAGCATACTCATTGCAATAGAAGATAGAATTAACATAGAGAAAGTATATTATTTTTACAAGCCAACCATTCATTTTCTTTACATCTTTGTGTAGTTTCTGTGGCTTCTTATAGATTTGGCATTGTCTATCGATTATAAATTTCAAATGCGCCCTTCCTGGCGTGTTTACAGATATCCATGAAGTCATGGAGAAGTGGTTTCATCCTTGTTGTCTTCACGAGGTTTTATGGAAACTATGGCATACTTCAGGCTGCTGTCAAATTGTTTAACCACTGATATTGGTTCCATAAAGTCAGGCTCAAGAGATTCTGTACCCGATCTGTTTGAGATGGAAACGGTTATCATGTCGGTTTTATGAATATCCGCTGCATCATGCGTTCTCAAATCGTCAATGATATCTGTCTGAATCTGTATAAACAGTTTACTATTAAACTTTTTTGGTTGTTATTTGTTTTAAAGTTGACAGAAAACGACAGCGCAAAGTACTCCTCCATGTCGGGTGGGTCTTTTCACCACCGAACACCACCGCACACCACCGAACACCGCCGAACACCCAAAAAAACCATCAACCACTGAGAAAATTAGTGATTTTTTACAATAAATCGGTAAAATCAATTAAATTACGTCTAATTTAACAATTTTTTAGACGTTTATATGCATCATTTTTCTGTTAAAGTCGATTATCAATATAATCCATATACATGTAAAGAAAAACGTCTCCGGATTCATCACTATTTTTCTGGATTACATTGTTTGTGTATAAGAATCATTTGACATCAATTACTGATGAAGGATATTAGTTACCCGAAATATTTAACATTTGTTCATGTCTCTTTTCTTGTTATTGATACAACTATTTTATAAAAGAAGAAAAAAAATGAAGAAAAAATTATTTGAGGTGTCCAGTGGTGGTTTGCAGAGTTGTAGTGTTATAGACTCTCCTTTTTTGTTCGATGTAGATATTTGTTCTCTTAACCTTATTATTTGTTGAATTAATAACTTAAATATTATATTTAGGTCACATTTATAACAATAAGAGTTAAAAAAAAATAATTTTTGGGGTGTTCGGTGGTGTTCGGCGGTGTGCGGTGGTGTTCGGTGGTGAAAAGACCTACCACTCCATGTCTTCATCAATACCTGTAAACAATCTCCATGTGCTTTATTATTAAACGGTCCCATGTACGCTTGACAAGAAGGTAATAAAAACCGAACTTGAAACGTGTAATCGACCCAGACTTTAAATTAATTCCGGAAACGACCAGAAGTTCCGGATTGCGTCAATAGAAAAATAAAAATAATTTCTTCAAATTAAAAGCAATAAAATTTTCACAGTCGGGCGGATTTTCCATGGTCGGTCGGTAAACTGCAAACAAACAATATTTTGATTTAAGCCTAATGACCTGCTGGTGAGCTAAAGAAGATCTTTCCTAACTCAATCAGTTAGACTACTCTTATATCTCCAGTTATACTATAAGTTATATGGTTTGCTACTGACCCACTACAGATCCATAGAAGGTTAGTAAAATCCATAGGGGTTGAGGCTTAAGGCAAATTTGGATCTGTAGAGGGTCAGTAGTAAAATGTAAAACAAATTTATTGCACGCAGAGTGATAATGAACTAAAAAATTCTTCTGTCCCTCCCCCCCTCCCCCCCCCCCCTCCTCCTTTTTCCAAATATCAAATGGTCATCAGACATGACCTTACCATTCTTGTTCTATGAATGTGCAAATTTGATTGATCTACAGCTGGACTTGAAAATTGGTATTTGCTGTCATTTAGCACACAGCATTTAGGAGTAAGAGCAAAGACTGGTCTGCTTGGATTCAGATTAATGTGTTGGGGTAAGCTGCCATGTCTTCTTACAGACTGCTACATTGTTAACCAGCAGGTCTTGTAATCTGTTGTGAGTGAAGAAAAAAGAAGAATCCAACCATGTCTAGTCAGTAGTGTCCTTATTTTTAGGTTTATTGGATAAAGTGCAATTCTGGATGTTAGGTTAAAGTATATGAATTTGCGAGTAAAACATCAAGCTGTATGTGATGTTATATGTTTCTGATGGTACAGTCAAACTTTCAATTCAAATATTTGAATCTATGAGTGACTTTAGAAAAAGTTAATGTAATTTATGGTATCAAAATCCCATTTGTCACTGAAACTTTAACAGCAATTTATCATCATCAATCCTGTACATGTTAGTATTGAAATTAGATTTTACTGCATTACCAAGAACAAGGCAAACTTATTAACCAAGGATTACCCATGTTTCTATTATCTAGATCATCCAGTAAAACAGAAGAAGCTTGTGAGCTTTATGTGAGAGCAGCAAATGCATTTAAAATGAGTAAAAAGTGGGCAGGTAAGTAAAATACACATATAGAGAATATGCATATTTTTGATTTAGCTTATCACTAACATATTTGCATGACTATTTGCTATGTACAGTCTTTTACATAAACTGCAACAAAATTTTAAGAAAGTAATGAAATAATTTAAGGTCTTGTAATCTGGTGTGAGTGGGAAAAAAAATGAATAGAATCCAACCATGTCTAGTGTTCTCATTTGTAGGATTTTTTGGATAGAGTGCAGTGCTGGATGTTAGGTTGAAGTATATAAATTTGGGAGAAAAACATTAAGCTGGTTAGTTAATGAATAAAAACTTGCATTACCTTAGAAAAGAAAGTGGGTGTTATTATATAAATAACTTGTACAAAATGTCTATACTAATGATGATTTCATAATTATAAGATAACTGTTTAGAAAACTTTGCATTTTTATACGACCGCAAAAAAATTTTTGTGGTCGTATATTGGTATGACGTTGGCGTCGTCGTCGTCGTCCGGCGTCGTCGTCCGAATACACATTAGTTTTCGCACTCTAACTTTAGTTTAAGTGAATAGATCTCAATGAAATTTTACCATAAGGTTCAATACCACAAAAGGAAGGTGGGGATTGATTTTTGGGGTTATGGTACTAACAGTTAAGGAATTAGGGGCCAAAAAGGGGCCAAAAATAAGCATTTTTGTAACTTCCAGACATAACTTGTGTGTAAGTATATGGATCTCTCTGACATTGTACCACAAGGTTCCATATCACAAAGGGAATGCTGGGATTGATTTTGGGGGTAATTGCCTCCAAATTTTAGGAATTAGGGGCCAAAAAGGGGCCAAAAACAAGCATTTTTCTAGTTTCATGACAATAACTTGTGTGTAAGTGTATGGATCTCTCTGACATTGTATCACAAGGTTCCATATCACAAAGGGAATACTGGGATTGATTTTTGGGGGTAATTTCCTCCAAATTTTGGGAATTAGGGGCCAAAAAGGGGCAAAAAACAAGCATTTTTCTAGTTTCAGGACAATCACTTGTTTGTAAGTGTATGGATCTTTATGAAATTGTACTGCAAGGTTCCATATCACAAAGGGAAAGCTGGGTTGGAGTTTGGGGGTAATTGCCCTAAACGTTTACGAATTAGGGGCCAAAAAGGGACAAAAAAACAAGCATTTTTCTAGTTTCCAGACAATAACTTGTGTTCAAGTGAATGGATCTCTCTAAAATTGTACTGCAAGGTACCATACCACAAAGGGAAAGCTTGGATTGAGTGTGGGGGCGATGAATCATAAGGGGGTTCAAAAAATTGGGGGGGGGGGGATTTTTTTTTCCTTTTTTTTCTTGAAAATTTTCCATTTTAAATTGGTTATTTCTGATTTATATATAAAAGCAAATAATAATGATATGGTTTGAATAGCATACATGTGAACCTCCCGACAGGAGTACAATAATCCTGTTTTCAGGAGTCTCCTCCCGACCTCCGGTTGAAGAGGAAAATTATAATCCTGTGTATGAAATTTTTCATGAATGAAAAATTTCTGCCCAACATATCATCTCAGGCATCTGGTGTAACTCACATTACCTGAAGTTATATTTTACCTGTAAATCAATTAACATGCATAATTATATGGCTTCACTTGTCAGCTTGGGTGTCAAACATACTGGTAATCAATGATTTTTTACCTCAGGCTAACTGCCGTTGTGTAACAAAAACTGTGTATTTATTGGGTTACTTCCCTTGATTTATCCTGTTTTAAGTTACTTTCCTTTTAATAATGAAAATTTTTAAAAGAATATAAATAAAATATAAATTGAACAAATAATCATAAAAGGATGGTAAATAAATGATTTTAAATGTCTTAGGACAAATAAAAAAATAATAATTTGAAAATTATTTGAGGATTCTATACTTCCTTTCAAGGCTTAAATTGAAATTTATATATTAACTATGACCCTTGTTTAACAGTTAGAACGATTTTCTGAGTATGCAAACAAAAGCTATTTGCAGATGGTTAAACAAATGTTCTGGTTGCAATAAATGTTTTATAGAATATGAAGTAAAAAATTTAAAGAACATACTGAAAAAAATAAATGTTAGATTGAACATGTAAAATATAAAGATGGAGAAACTTTATAAGTACAAGGGTACTATAACATAATAAATTGGATGGAAAGTTGAAGAAAACACACTTTAAAAGACCATTTTTACAGCACACGGTTACATTTACGACAAATTTATGTCGATTAAAAACCTCCTGATCTGAGTCCTAATCTCCTGATCTGAGTTTCACAGTCCATCACATGTATGAATAGGTAAATTAAAAAATTATAAGTTCTTAGACCACTTTCATTCTGTGTCAGAAACCTATGCTGTGTCAAATATTTAATTACAATCCAAATTCAGTGCTGTATCAAGCTTGAATGTTGTGTCCATACTTGCCCCAACTGTTCAGGGTTTGACCTCTGCGGTCGTATCAAGCTGCGCCCCAGCGGAGCATTTTATTCGAATTACAAAGGATATTTAACCTGATTTTCGAAGTAAAAATTGGTTATTGATTTGGGGATGTAAGCAGGGCGGGCGGACAGGCGGCTGCCAAACAGTGTCTCTTCAATAACATGAAAACCCTTTGACAAAATTTAGATATGTTGTTTCCTGCGACTCAATGAAGGTCAAGTTCAATTTTCACGATTTTAGCTTTTCTCTTTTGTGAGTTATCACCCTTTTTAATATCCATAAGGCAGATTCCATAAAGAAAAGAAAATTTCCGTCAAAAAGAACAAATTAATAAAAATAATACTAACTGTTATTTGAATGATAATATGTGAATGTTTTATTGAATAGTAATGTTAAATAAAGCAAGAAAACCAATTATTGGATATGATTGTTTCCATTAAAAGTAGAAATGATCAAAACAAGTTGAAAAATGTGAAATGTTTGACGGAAATTACTTCCCATTTATTGACACAAGGTTTATGTGTTACAATGCTTTAAATTGACACTGGTATAATGGTTTTTATTAGTGTAGTCTGATTATTCAAACATCCCTGTTTCCAAATCTTTTGCTTATCTTTTGTTAAAAACATCTGTTATATATATTTTTTTCAATTTCAAACACCTTGCTTATTAGATGCTCGTCTGTCAATAAATGTTATGATAGCAACATGTTCATAAAATCTTGCCACATCATTGTAGGTACTTATATAAGCCTGTTAAAATTGTATTTCATAATATAATGTACATTAATCAAACACATTTTGGATCTTTCAATTTACTTTATTCAATCAATAGTTTTATCAAATCTGTTGCTAACATAAGTTCTGTCAAACTTGTCATCTTATGTTAGCAACATTTGGATGTGCTACAAATTACCCGGTAAGAGTTATCTGTCCTGGGTTGAAATCTTGTTAAATGTCAGGCGGCGTTATTTTGCAGGAGTTCTAAATATGACTTTCAACTAGGATAAGATCTCCAATGTTACGGTAGTTAAAAATCTCAAATATATATTGGCTGTCAAATTTATTTATGTTAGCACAATCTTATGTTAGCAACAAGTCCGTCAATATCTTATGTTAGCAACACTATTTAGTCTGTCAAAACTTATGTTAGCAACAATAATGTCCGTCAAATCTTATGTTAGCAACAAAAAAGTCCGTCAAATATTATGTTAGCAACAAAAAAGTCCGTCAAATATTATGTTAGCAACAAAAAAGTCTGTCAAATCTTATGTTAGCAACAACTTCATTTCTGTCAAATCTTATGTTAGCAGCATTGTTCATGTCTGTCAAATCTTATGTTAGCAACTCCAAGATAATCCTTTTTATACGACCGCAAAAAATGTTTGCGGCCGTATATTGGTATGACGTTGTCATCGTCATCGTCGTCGTCGTTCGGCGTCGTCCTAAGACACATTGGTTTTCGCACTCTAACTTTAGTTAAAGTGAATGGATCTCTATGAAATTTTACCAGAAGGTTCAATACCACAAAAGGAAGGTTGGGATTGATTTTAAGGGTTATGGTACCAACAGTAAAGGAATTAGGGGCCAAAAATAAGCATTTTTATACGACCGCAAAAAATTTTTGCCGTCGTATATTGGTATGACGTTGGCGTCGTCGTCGTCGTCTGGCGTCGTCCGCCGTCGTCCAAAGACACATTGGTTTTCGCACTCTAACTTTAGTTTAAGTGAATGGATCTCTATGAAATTTTACCATAAGGTTCAATACCACAAAAGGAAGGTTGGGATTGATTTTGGGGGTTATGGTACCAACAGTTAAGGAATTAGGGGCCAAAAAGGGGCCAAAAATAAGCATTTTTGTAACTTCCAGACATAACTTGTGTGTTAGTGTATGGATCTCTCTGACATTGTATCACAAGGTTCCATATCACACAGGGAATGCTGGGATTAATTTTGGGGGTAATTGCCTCAAAATATTAGGAATTAGGGGCCCAAAAAGGGGCAAAAAACAAGCAATTTTTTAGTTTCATGACAATAACTTGTGTGTAAGTGTATGGATCTTTCTGAAATTGTACTACAAGGTTCCATATCACAAAGGAAGGTTGGAATTGAGTTTGGGGGTAATTGCCCAAAACGTTTAGGAAAAAGGGGCCAAAAAGGGGCCAAAAATAAGCATTTTTCTAGTTTCCAGACAATAACTTGTGTTCAAGTGTATGGATCTCTCTGAAATTGTACCACAAGGTTCCATATCACACAGGGAATGCTGGGATTGATTTTGGGGGTAATTGCTCAAAATATTAGGAATTAGGGGCCCAAAAAGGGGCAAAAAACAAGCATTTTTCTAGTTTCAAGATAATAACTTGTGTGTAAGTGTATGGATCTTTCTGAAATTGTACTACAAGGTTCCATATCACAAAGGGAAAGCTGGAATTGAGTTTGGGGATAATTGCCCAAAACGTTTAGGAAAAAGGGGTAAAAAAGGGGCCAAAAATAAGCATTTTTCTAGTTTCCAGACAATAACTTGTGTTCAAGTGTATGGATCTCTCTGAAATTGTACTGCAAGGTACCATACAA